GGTCTCGAAAATCAGGCCAACGAGGTGGTGGGATGCGGGATGTCTTTTCCAGATATACGTTGGGATGGGACAAGGGGGACTGATTCGACTTCGGACGAAGAGCAGCAGCGGCAGCACACACACAAACTCTGAAAACCACCAAAAAAGGCTGATGGAGCTCAGTCTTCCTGTTGCTGCTCGTCGATGGAGCCTCTCTCGCGAGAGTTGGAACCAGCCCCCCCTAGTCCGCATCGTCCCGTCGCCCCTCTTAGGGAACGACTGGAAGGTGAGTCACCTCTGTCGAGACCTGCATATGCAGAGACTAGGTTACGGGAACCGGGGGAGGGCGAAAAAGCGTGGTGGTCCACGGGTCCACGGTTCCACGACAACAAGCGAGGGACGGCATTGGGCGACCACACGTAGATGCCGCGCTCGTTACACGCCCCCCAGAGAGACGGGAAGTAAGTTGTCGTGTGTGGGATGCGGTTGTGTCTCGAGGTGTATGGTATGGCAGAGCAGAGACGAGAGAGACAGTCCCGAACGGGCAAAGGTCGAGAATAGCGTGTCTGCGGGATTTGGTTGGTCGGCCTTGCGGTCTTTTCTTCCTGCTTGGTTGATCTTTTTTGATTCGGGAACAAGACTACCTTAGTTTGGATGCAGAAAGGCCAGTGGAAAATGCAGGTTCCCACGCCAGAGAGGCCCGTTTCATGTCGTCCCAGTGGTCGAGAGGCATCCGGCCATGAGACCGATTGTCCTCGTCCTGCATGCCGGCGCCCTGGTCTAGTGCCGGAACGGGGGGGAGGTGTGTCTGCTGCCCACGAGCAAGGTAGCTCTCATCCGGCCCCATCGCCCGTCCGTTGCGACTCGCGATGGTATAAACCTCGAAAAAGGAAAACGACAAAAATGCCTTGTGGACGGACGGGGGGGAGAGCGATCTGCAAAGACTGGGGAGGGGACCAGCTGGGGGTCCGTGGGAGAAGCGCTATCGATAAGCAGCACAGAGAAACGTCCCCAAGCCACACTTGCACGCTGGATCCCTGGCGTCAACAGGAGGTGATTGGTCAGAAACTCGAAAGGCTGGTCACATTTGGCATTTCGGGGCCGTGTGATTGGACGGACGCGGCTTGACGTGTAGACGTCGCGTGGCACAGAATAGACGCGTTGGCTGGATAGAAATGCTCCAAAGGTAAGCGCTGCCACTTTTTTTTTTTTTTTTTGCTGGGAGGATCCACCACCGCGCCGCCGGACGACGATCCGCCTTTTCTGGCAGGGAACCGGGGCCAGGGAAGACCTACCAGGAGAGGTTGTTTGGGTGGCGATGATGCTGTTTCGCGGCGCGGCGGTCTGGAGATGTCGAGCTAGGTCGGAAGCTAGAACGCGGACACACACATGCGCGAGGTTTATTGTGTAAAAGGTGAGTTTGCGGCTTTCCTGTCAAGGGTTCCTCTCATGTGGTATAGTTCATTCCCACGGCACTAATGTCTTGAATCTCAGCATGGCATGAAGATGCCCAAACGCGCCTGGGAACGCCCAGAGCGCCTGTGGCGTCAGGACGGAGGAGGCCGTTGGAACGTCGCATGGGATCATCGCGACGGTCGATGATGATGATGATGATGATGATGATGATGGCAGTGGTGGTGGTGGTTGAGCTGCTGTTTCGCCAAGCACGAGAGGTGTCCCTTTGGCACCCCCGTCGCATCCACAGGACACACTGCAGAGAGACACGCTCCACCATTCCCATCCGGTCCCTCCCAACCAACCCAGACGAAAAGTGACGACAGTCATGAGGGCAGAAAAGTAGGGCTGTGGCCAGGACGTCAGTCCCGTTTTTCGCTTCAGACGCACGCAAAATCGCAAGAAACGAAAGAGAAAAAAAATAGGGGTGTGGGCTCGCTCTCGTGTCCCTTGTATGTGATGCTTGCTGCTTGAGGATGCGGTTTACGTGTAAGTCGGGTGTGGTTTCTGGCCGGGACATGGTGCGGTGGGTGCATGAGGCATGTCATTGCAGTAGGACGGCACACGGGCTGGCTGGCTACTGCCAGTGGGCAGCAAAAGAAGTGGAAGACGAAAACCAAAAATTCAACCGTAACCCATAACCGTAAACCTTGTCCGGATGACAACCGACAGCAGGACAAAACGATGACTCTTTTCTCCCCACATATTCTGCAAGCGCATGCTAGGTGCTGCATTTTGCATGGGAGGGGGGGTTGCACGTCCGCGTCTCTCTCTCTGGCTGCCAATTGACCAGTGATATCCAACGCGCAACCACCATTCTTGCTGCGAATCCCGAAAGAGCCCGCGCCGGGACACGCTTACACGCCCCCCGGGTAACCCGTGCGTGGTAGGTAGAGTAAGGTACCCCACACGGCGCAGGACGCAGCAGCAGCGACCAGCAGCGGCAGCCACTCGACCACGCTCGGCCTGCATTGCATGTTGCTGTTGCCCATGTATGTTGCCCATTGCGAAGCCCACACGCAGCAGCAGCAGACCAAAAGCTCCCACAAGGCTCTCCCTCTCTCTGGCCCTTTTTGAATGGTTCGGCTCCGGTTGAAACGACGGGAACAAGAACCCCAGTCGCTGGCTGGTCCTCCGCCCAGCTTTCGTCAACCACCACAGCAACAAACGGGGCTGACACTGACTGCCACAACACTTAGCACCACCACACACCACCACTTCTGATACAGCCAACGACTTACACCCGTATTTGTACAACAACAATGTCTCTCTCCTCAACTCAGTCCACCTCTGCATGACCTACCATCCCATCACCGCCCGCCCCGTCAACTCCAACTTCAGTCAATTCGGTAACACTCTACAGACTGAGAAAGTCCAAGCTTATCTCAGCTAGACTTGTACAGAGGACACGGAAAGTCTCTACTCTGCAATACTTAACCGCCGCAAGTTCCTTCCCTTTCGCATATCCCATGCAGCATTTCGCAGCCATCCTATCCCTCCACCCCAGCCCACCCCCATCCACAATACGGATACCGCGAAGGGTTGGTTTGTTCCCACAACCACACAGGCCTTGACAAGACAACAAGCATACGGACAAGGGATGAAGAAGCATCTCTGGTGAACAGCCCGCCAGCCAGCCGCCCCCCGGTTGATCGTCACTCGTTTGTGTGTGTGCCGTGTCCACAACGCAACTGCTGCTGGAAAGACGAAAACGAATAAACGACCTACCACCAAGGAGAGTCAAGAGACCAAGAAAGAGAAAAAAAAAAGTTCCCCTGGATATTCCGTCGTCGGGTCCTTCAACCACCATTCATCCCCATCGAAACCCCCATGCCTCGCCGGAAAACGCAACGCATCCCCCCTACCCTAGCTAGCTGGCATCGTCTTCAACTGCAGCCCCCGACACCGCGGACCCAACCCCTTGAACGTTGGCCGGGTTTCCATGGCAGACATATTCTGAATAGACATCATCGGGCATGGTTGACGGGGCCACGTCGTCGTCGTGTCCAGTCCCGTTTTCATCCTCGTCGGCGTCGTCGTCGTCGGTCAACCGCAAGCGAGACCCTCCGTCGACCCCCGGCTGGTCGTTCCCAAGGACAAGGTAACAGAAACCCACAACCCACGTTTTCCAGGATGTGTCTTGTCCTCTGAAAAAGGGTGGCCCGTCCCATCCCGACCACGAACACCCACATGCAACTTTTTTCTTGTCGATTTTCCAGGGTTTGCGAATATCAAAATTGGAACCGTCGGGCACATCACGACAACCACCACCACACAATTTAATTTTCTGCTGCTCACCGACACTCCCGGGCATCGTTCGTCCACAGCCTAACGAAAGAGAAAGCTTGCCGGGCCCTGAAAGACTATTGACCGTCCTCGAATTTTCCCCATGTCGACGTGGCTTGCCGAGGGACCACCACATGACTAACAACACCGCTTAAGCGCCCTGGGCCGAATTTTTACCTACATACCTACCTACCTATATCCAAGTCCAACTCACCCTCAACCCGCACATACTCACAACCCCGGCCCCGGCCAGCCGTCGTCTCCCTTCACCTACACTTTGAAATCCTCGTCTCTTTCCTTGCTGAACCAACACCCCCTAGCTCATCACGAGGATCAACACATTTTTTTCTTGCTATCTGAAGCTCTGTAAAAATCTCCGACTCGGCCTGCTGTGCTAAACCGGGATATCTGTCCTCTCTCCCCGGGCTCCCTTCTCTCACCGTAGGTTCCTTCGGATTGCGACGAAAATGCGCCGCCGACAATGTCTTTCATGAACAGGGTAGAATTTTTCGGAATTGTCGTCGTCGTGGCCGTGACTCAACAGGAGACCTTGGCAGTGCCCGTCGATTCGCACCGAGCCGTTACTATTTTGCGTCTTTTTCAAGGATGGATGAGCGCAATATTTTGATTTGCATGGCAGACCGGTGCTTGCGTTTACAGGGTGATTATTCGAAGGCTGGATGGCAGACGTTACGACTTACACACATCAAGATATCCGACAGGGGGGCCGATTTTCGCAAAGCAAGTCTCAATTATTCTGTGCGCAAATATGCCTGGGGGGGTATCAAAACTACACGAGAGCCCAGATTCTTTGTCCGTACTGCTCTGCTGGTCCTGATCTGATCCACACACTTTTCGATGGACGGGGGGTTCCACGTTTGCTCGCTTACCGCAGTCGCACTTGCAGTTGCAGTTGCATTTGCAGGCCGGCGAGCAGCCGTCTCCGTCTCCAATTGCCAATGTAAAGCTAACGCCTCCGCGGCGCGCATTCGTCAAAAGGTCTTGCACCCAACCGAAAAGGCGAGGCTGACCATCCCCCGTTCCGTTCCCACCTCCCACAGCGCGCGCGCACCTCACTCGCGCCGCGCCCTGTCATCTGATTTCGCGCAATGTCAAAAGGTCGTACAAGTCGTCGCGCATGCTGCTGGTGCTGCTGCTTTTCTCCCGCCACCCCGACGTCGGTCCTCTCTACCCGTGACAGCTTGATCCATCCACCCGCGCTCGCGGCACGCCCACACGCCAACGTCGCCGTTGCGCGCCAACCAATCAATTTAGAACCTTCATCCCTGCCTCCCACCGCGTTTGTTCTTACCCCTGCGGCGTCCTCCTCCTCCCCCAGAAGAGATTCCACCACCGTTTTGCTGATGGTGCGAGGGTCCCGTAGGCGCATTGCCCCCCGACTGTCTGGTCCGCGGCTTCTTCGCGTTCGGTCCCGGTCCGTTGTGAGGAGGTGGGGCGACGCTGTGGTAGCCGAGTTGCGGTGCTGGAGGCTTGGGAGGCAGCCCACCCCGGCCAGTGCCGTTGCTCGGAGCCTGCGGTCGCGACTGATTCTGATTGTTGTAGCTCCTCGACATGCGCGAGTACGAGCCAGTCGGTGCTGGGCCAGATGGGGGAGGTCCAGGAGGAAGAGGAGGCTGCTGCGCTGACCACCCACCACCACCACCGCGTTGCTGGCCGCGCCCGTTCTGCTGAGGCTGCGACTGCGGTCCACCACGACCACCGAAATTGCCAAGCTGGATATTGGTCGACAAGGAAATGTTTCCGGGTGGGGCGCGCGGCTTCACCTTCTGGCCGAGGAACTCGCCCTCTTCAGACCCGTCGCTATCGGCGTAGAAGATGTGCTTGCGAGCGGCGGACGCACCCTTGATCTGGAGCTGGGGTGCATTAGGCACACTGGCAAAGTTACTGATCGGCCCTTCGGTGGCGTTCTTGTCGAAGTACAGGTCTCTGTTCTTAAGTGCCCAAGTCTTGCTGCGAGGCTTGTTGGCGTGGAGAGAGCAGTCGGAAGAGTAGTGTCCTTCGGTTCCGCATGCACCACAGTACGCGGGGAGAACGTTGACCTTCTTGATCGCGCCTCTCCGAGGCTGGTAAGACCGCCAGAGGTCCTCACAGTCATCGTCTTCGTGGGCTTGGGAGCCACACGTGGCACACTCCATGCCCTCCTCATCCAGGTGAATGAGCTTCTCCGTGCATTGTCCCTTGCCGTGGCCCAGTTGGCGACACTTAGTACACCTCTCGCGAGTCGGGCAGCTCCAAGAAAAGTGGCCTTCATAATCGCAAAACTTGCAGGCCGTCTTGGGGCACGCAGACGACATATGACCGGGGGTAGCGCAGTAGATGCAAATTCGCTCAGACTCGGGAAGGCCGGGAAAGTACCTGCGTTGCTCAGCCAGATCCTCCTCCTCACTCATGATAGCCGGGCCCGGTCGACCGCTCTCCATCTCTTCGTCCGAGAGCTCGTCTTCTTGGGTATCGGCAGGTGAGGCGTGGGCTCCTTCCAAGTGTTCCGTCTTGACTGAACCAGCGGTTTGCGCGACAGCGGGTGTGGATTTGCTGGGAGGCGGGACTTCCTGGACATCGTCGTCGTCTCCGTCGTCGATGACCATGGGTGAATCCTCGGTGCCTGTGCCTGTGGTCATGTTCAAGTAATCGTCGTTCTTCAGGATGGTTGCCAGGTTCGCAGCAATGTCGGTTTTCGTTTGAGGCTTTTTAGACTCGGCTAGGGCGACACCCTGCTGCTTCTTTTTTGTCCAGCGCGCGCGAGTGTTGATATACGCTTGCAGGGCAGCGACGACGATGTCGGCGTTGAGCCGGTCCTGCTGGTCGATGTTGCGGCTGATGAAAGATTGACACCAGCTCTTGAACTTGGCCTTCCAAACGCCTGCGCCCAGATTGTTACCCTTGGGCTGCAACAGACTTTTCTTGGTAGGCAAATGAAGTAGCAGGCCACTGTGCTCAAAGGGCTTTTCGTCTTGGCCCTTTTCTTTGCCCGACGCAGCCTGAGCAGCTTGTTTTTCCTGCTTAAGTTCTTGTCGTGTTTTCTTCTTGGATTTTGCGGTGTCCTTGTCGGCGGGGGCAGGTGGAGGGGCTTGGGAAGGCGCGGCTTCTGTTGCGGATTGAGGTTCGGATTCGGCCTCAGCCTCGGGCTCCGGCGTTGGTTCCTTTGACTTGGCCTTGAACGGTGCTGGTGCAGCTTTTGCAGACCCGCCTAATGAAGTCCGAATCTGGGACGTGATGCCTTGATTCCATCCAACCTGGGCCGGGGCCTTTGCCATGGATCGCGTCGTCCGCTGCGCCCCTGCATCGGGCTTTTCAACGGCTGCCGTCGTCGCCGGCCTCGTATCGTCGTCCTCCTCACCATCCATTTCTTCTGAGCCAGAGTCTGAATTCTCAGATGCATCGTCCTCATCCTCCAACTCACCCTCCTCAGCACTCTCGTCTTCTACGACGTCCGCGGTCCCATTCTTATCTTCCTGGCTGGTCTTTGGCCGCTTGGCTTCAGGCTCCGGTGGTGATGCCTGATGAGGCTCTGATGCGTCGGGCTCAGTGTCCTGCTGCATATCCTCCAATGAGCGCTTTTTTGACGGCTGCTGCGATTCTACTGCTTCAGTGGCCTCCACCACCTCGCTAGATACCGGCACCGCCTCTGTCTGTTCTGAAGTTTCCATGTTGTGTGATGAGTGAGCCCAAGTGAGCCCAAGTGGCCACAACAGTCTGTACAAGGCCGGAATTAAGATTTAGGCTTCTTTCGACTTCGTGAGAACCACGTCGAAGCTTTGAGTACAGCGATCAAAGAATCGACGAATTTCCTGAAAATAGATGAAAGGGCTCCAAAGCCTTTGATGTTGATGTCTGACGGTTCGAGTATGGACGTCTACAAGACCTGAGGAATCGTAGAGAATGCAGACGCGTTGGCGCGAAACGGCCGGCTCAAACCCAATCTCTAAGATCCAACTTGCGCAAGAGCCAGTTTCTATGTGTGCTGGAAGAGACTTTGGCGTCCTGGTGACGCAGAGATGGTCGATCTCGCGGGTTGTATGTCGTCGTCAATCGCGTCCGCGATGAATTGGCCGCCCTGGGTCAAAAAATTGTATGCAGGTATCCAGTTTTGTTCGACGTCACAAACCAACTGGGGGTTGTCAGCCGAAGAATAGCCGACACAATCCGAGCAGAGCAGGTCCCTTCCTGCAGCGCTGCATCGTCGAACCGTGCCTGCCGTCCACACCGTTGGGATCGATTTTTCGAGGTGCGGGCCTCTGCACAGTGCCAACTGCCCCTCGAGGACGATTCATGTTCTGGGGCATCACTAATTAAGGCACTTGACAGTGCATGGATTGGGAGCACCTGAGGCGGTTTCGCTTCCACTGGGCGGGATGCGGAAGCGAAAGTGTCGACTTCTAGAATCGGCATTATTGGACCTATCGCTTTCCATCTAATTACAACCCGGCAGCATGCAAACCGCACGGTTTGGTTGGAGCAGGTACTAGCAGAGCCAGAACCCTTGTGGTCGGAGATGAGGCTCGATCTTTGGTCAGTGGTCGCGCCTGCTGGTCTGGTTCCCGTTCCTGTTCCTGTCCCTGAACCGAGCGCAGCCCTGCAGATGGCGCGCGATTGAGGGCCCGGACTATTGAGAGTGATGGATGCGAAAAGGAAAAGATGATGAGTGACAGGACTCGACAGCTGACAGGCAGCTTGTGGTCTCATGAGTTGCGTGCAAGTGTCGCGTTGCCTTGATCCTCTTGGAGCAAGACACGCCACGGATTCCCGCGGTATCGCAACGGGCGATTTGACGTGTCTTCCTCGTCCAAAGTGTTGCTGATCTCTGCAGGCTAAGAGTGACGACGGCAGATGAACACGGGCAGCTTGATAGATATCGGCAGACGACAAACGGGGCTCGGTACGAATGGGGAAACAGACTTTTTGATACTCCATCAGCAGTGCAGATTCACTCCTCGGCTTCGGTGAGATATCCCGGAACGCCAGGACTTGAACGTTCATCCCACGCAACGCAACGAACCACTACAGTCAATAACTTATCGCACAGCCCGATTAGTGGAGAAGGCGAGAGACAGATTTAGCTCAGATAACCTGCTACTGAAGTAGCTTTCCTCAGGTCGAGAGGGGGAAAAGGTGGGAAGGGCGAGCAACACCGTATGTCTTGGATGGCGAGAGTACGGAGTACCGAGGTGAGTCTGGCTTCTGGACAGTGCTTCCACAATAACGCCAGACAATTTGGTGTGCCATTCCTTTGCATCTGGCCGTGGCCTCGTCTGCCCAGCGTGGCTAGATCCCAGGGCCCCCAGATGTTGGGAGATGCATGACATTGGCGTGGATGTCCTCAGTTGATGAACCGTATCGGCGTGTTTTCTGACGATTCTAAGCTTACCTTGGCCTAGGATTTAGCTTAGCCTGCTACGGAAAAAGGTGGTGGTGGCATGTTCATGCCGTGTGTTGCTGTTGGTGCTTGGTAAAGGAGCATAGGAGCAGACAGACTCAGTCTCGACCCAACGGTTACAACCGAAGTCGACAGTGCGTTTCTGAGTTTCCAGCCAGTCTGCTTGTTTCCCGCCCGGCCAGCCGCCTCAGCCGTCTGGGCTTCTCGTCGCCAAATGTCTGGAAATAGGGGCATGTTCCCAGGAGACATTGGCCAGGGGAACCCCTCTCCTGGTTTCTCCCCGGCTCCGCTAGCAGATAGCATTGGCGAACCCTATGCCGCAGAGTGCTCCGTCCTTCCGGTGCTGCACAGCCAGGCAGGCGGTCCGGCAGCGAGATGCACATGCAGGGTAGCTAACAGTACGGATAGCTTGCGGCGGGACAGTGGTACGTCGAATGCTCGCTCGGGTCTGGGCCGTCCATCTGACTGTGTGAGTAGCTGGGCTGCTGCAGCATCCCTCGGGTCGTCAGTGATCCTTCCCGGGTCGCGGGTCTCAGCCCGTGCTGTGCGTTGTTTTGCAGTCTTTGCTTTGCTTTGCCTCGCCTTGCTTCTGAGGGGAGGAGGAGTGGGTGACGTGTGCTGTGCTACGCTAGGCGCGTCTTTACGGGGCCCATAGGCAAGATAAAGTGTCGTCTGTATGCGATCGGAGTCGACTCGTTTCTTTTTGTTTGGTGGGCTGGGCTGGATGTTCTGTTCAGCGTTGGCAGCAAGCCGGGCCAGTTCAAAAGATAAGGCAGATTGAGAAATCGCAGGCCGCGGATTGCTTCTTGCCTGCTAGTGTTCTTGCCCTGCCTGGGGTTCTTCAGTGACATGGAAGTCCCACCAGTGCCTGTCAACACTGTACTGCCAATCTCGCAGCAAGCACCGTGTGCAAATTGGGGTGGTCCCCTGAATGAATGAGCGACCCTGACCCGTCTCGCGACTGGGGCTCCACGCTCCGCTCGCCTGCCCGCTCCTCATGTCGGCTGGGCGGGCGGGCTGGCACCTGCTCGTTCTCAGAGCTGGCAGCAGCTGCTCGCTCGCCAGTGGCTAGTGGTGACCACAGTGCTGGCGGTGGCCCAGTGGCTCGCTAGTCGATGCTGCTGCCCCAGCTTGTCCACTCGGAACCAATCTCGTCGTGTCTTGCTTCGCCTTGCCGGGGTCGGAGTGGGTCGAAGCTGGGAAGTGCTCGCTGGTTGCCCTTGCAGGCAGTGTGTCCAGTGTGTGTCCTGTGTGCCTCCACGTCCGCGAGGACACTTGCTGGAGTCCGTGTCGGGGTCCAGTCTCCTCCTCCTCTCCTGTCCCAGTCGTCCCCATCAGGCCTGAGGTCCCTCGTCCGCTGCTATGAATATCTAATTCTCCTTCATCCCATTGCCAAGTAGCCAATTACGACGACACCGTCCCCAACATTTACAGCTCAACGCTCCCTTCCACCGTCTACAGTCTCGACGACTGCTTCTTCGTCTCTCGCTCCCATCAATTCTTTCGCATCATCACCACTATCGAGAATACCGCGCCTCATCCGTCGCGAATTGCTCGCCGAACCCCGTGACATCATCAAGGGGGCTGCCAGAGCAAATTGGTTCCCATCCATCACACACCATCGCCGGCCCAGCTTCCAGCATCATCTGGACCAAGAACGACGATCCCGAACTACCCGCTTCCATCTCCTTCGCCCTTTCCATTCGAACATCACCCGATCGTCTCTCCCGACACCCCTTCAACACCGCCAAACTGTCTTCCCCAATTCTCATTTCTCGCACCGTCTCTTACGACGCGGCCACTAATCCTCCGCGACGTGGCAGCGGATCGTACAGAACAATGGCGGATACCGGTGCCCGCAGAAGAAGATCTAGCAGCATTCTTCAAGTCCACTACGAGCCGCCCGAGACTCTCGAGCAAATAAGTGACCAGGCCGTCGTGCCCAATTTGAATGCGAACTGGGTCAATGCCAAAGGTGAGAGAACCCCGCGCAGAGCTCCGCAGGAAGCTTTTCCCCCCTTTCGTGCTTGTCGCGTGCCTCCCCTCCCCATTGAGACACAAAAAAACTGACAACACCACCACAATCAGGTGCCTGGACCATCCACTTCGTCCTCATTCTCTGCCTAAAGATCTTCTACGACATCATGCCTGGCGTGTCCCAGGAGACGTCATGGACCCTGACCAACATCTCCTACATGTTCGGATCGTACATCATGTTCCACTACGTCCGTGGCGTGCCATTCGAGTTCAATGGCGGAGCCTTTGACAACCTCAACATGTGGGAGCAGATTGACGACGGCGCCCAGTACACCCCCGCAAAGAAGTTTCTTCTTAGCGTGCCTATCATGCTGTTCCTCCTCAGCACGCACTACACCCATTATGACTTGGCCTACTTCATCATCAATTTCCTGGCCGTCCTTGGAGTCGTCATCCCCAAGCTGCCTTTTGTACGTATCCTCCCACTGTTTTCGCAAGGATGCCCTAGGCTGACATCAGACACAGAGCCACCGGATGAGAGTCGGTCTCTTTTCTGGCGAATCCGACGATTGAGCTGCATGGCAACATGGCGTTTAGGGGCTGGATTGTGTATTTGTCGCGCGAATCAAAAAAAAGATTGGAGTCGAGAGATGGCATACATAGCGAAGCATGGTCGGAGAACGAAACGGAGAATACACACGGATGAGTGTCGAGGAACAGCGCGGAAGCACGGGAGCTTTGGGAGCACTGGACACGGAGTATTTCGACTTCGTCGAGAGACGGTTCGAGGTGCCAGAATCACCACTTTTATTGTTTCGAGTCAGAACTACCAGAAGGCTTGCAGAGATCATCCACTCTGTGTGTTGCAGAAATGACGACACGACGTACGGCGCCCTGGTCTGCAAATTATGATCTTTCGCAACCCGAAAAGCGAGGGGTGGACGATTCAGCAAAGAACCGAACATAGAGGCTCCACCATATGTACCCAAGCGTTTTCATCAATACTAAGGCACAGATTGAGGATTGTCCGCCATCGGTGAAGACGGGCTCATCGAGACCCATGTGAAAAATTCAACAAGTCGCAGCATTGCCTCCAATGCCCAAGGAGCATCGCCGATCAATGGAGTGATGAAAAAACTTCTGGCAGCGTCGCCGAGATTTTGCTCCAGCCACGACCTCCAAAGAGGTTCTTAATGCCATGAGAAAAGTTTTACCTGCAGCCATGAACTTCGAAAGGCCGCCCCTCCGACGGACATGGTTAGGATATCAGGAGCTCATTGCATAAACTTCAATACGCCAACCCGACTCGGCGCGTCTCAACCCATCTCAACTCAAGTTTGGCTGCAATGGCTTGGACGTTCTCAACAAGTTGACCGACTGTGGCCAGCACACCATCAAGCCGATGGTCTGCCCTGTGAGCCCCCGTATAAGATGGTTGAAGGAGATTCAAGGGTTTTCTCTTCCCTCTTCTCTCCTCATCCATCAGTCGTTCGCTCACATTACGGGAAGGCGGGAACTCTTTCACTCAGTCAATCGTTATCAACTTACAATCGTTTTCTTCTAGTTCCTTAGCCTTTCTTCTTGAAAATGAAGGTGACCGTTGCTGCTGCTGTGGCAGTCCTCTCCGGGCTTGCCGGGGCCCAGATGCCCGTTCCGAACCCCGGCCCGGCTCCTTGGCGCCCGCCCACGCATGACTTCCCCGCTCCTCCCGCTCCCTGGAGCCCGCCCAAGCACGACTTCCCCGCTCCTCCGGTCGACACACCCCCGGTCGTCGTCCTTCCTCCGAAGCCGGTCACGACCACCAAGACCGACATCATCGTCAACCCCATCACCAAGACCAGGACTGAGGTCATCACGAGGGGCCACTTCACCATCACCCGCAAGGTGACTGAGCCCTGCACCACTTCCACCACCCGCCGCCGGACCACCACGCCGTGCACCACGTCTAAGCCGAAGACGACTCCTTGCACCACGTCTAAGCCGAAGACGACTCCTTGCACTACGTCGAAGAAGCCCACTACGACGCCCTGCACCACGTCAAAGCCTAAGACTACTCCCTGCACCACCCTCAAGCGCTCCACGACGCCCTGCACCACGTCGAAGCCCAAGACTACTCCGTGCACCACTTCCAAGCCGAAGACTACTCCCTGCACTACGTCCAAGCCGAAGACAACTCCCTGCACTACGTCCAAGCCCAAGACTACTACTCCCTGCACCACGTCGAAGCCTAAGACTACTCCCTGCACCACGTCGAAGCCTAAGACTACTCCCTGCACCACTTCCAAGCCGAAGACTACTCCTTGCACTACGTCTAAGCACAAGACTACCACTCCTTGCACTACATCTAAGCCTAAGACTACCCCGTGTACCACTTCCAAGCATAAGACGACGACTCCCTGCACCACCTCCAAGCACAAGACTACGTCGATGAAGCCCAAGACCACCCCTTGCCCCTCTTCGTCCAAGAAGGTTATCCACTACACGAAAATCACCTCGACCATCCCCGCGAACGGCACCAAGCCCTGCACCACGGTGACCTACTACAGCAACATCCTCCCGCCGCCCGTCACTACGTCCGCCAAGAAGCACCACTCCACCACTCCGGTCGTCGTCCTGCCGCCTCCGGTTGTCATCGTCTCCTCGCAGCAGGGCACTCCCGCTCCCCCGGCGACCACCAGCCCCAGCAAGCAGAAGTACACCAACACCACGGCTCCGGTCAGCCCGCCTACCGCCCCGGCTCAACCTCCCGCGCAACCCCCCGCCCAGCCGCCGGCGCAGCCTCCCGCTCAACCTCCTTCCCAGCCGCCCGCTCAGCCTCCCGCTCAACCCCCGGCTCAACCTCCCTCGCAGCCTCCTGCCCAGCCGCCTGCTCAACCTCCCGCTCAACCTCCTTCTCAGCCTCCCGCTCAACCTCCTTCTCAGCCTCCCGCTCAGCCTCCTTCTCAACCTCCCTCGCAGCCTCCTGCCCAGCCGCCTGCCCAACCGCCTGCCCAACCACCTGCCCAGCCGCCTGCCCAGCCTCCCTCGCAGTCGCAGCCTCCCTCGCAGCCTTCTCAGCCGCCCGCCCAGCCTCCTGCCCAGCCGCCTGCCCAACCTCCCGCTCAGCCGCCTTCTCAACCTCCTGCTCAACCTCCCGCTCAACCTCCCGCTCAACCTCCCGCTCAACCTCCCGCTCAACCCCCCGCCCAGCCCCCGGCCCAGCCCAGCAAGGTCGCCACCGCAGGCAGCTCCAGCCTCCAGGCTCCTTTCACCCTGGCTGCCATCATCGCCATGGCCTTCGCCTTCTTCTAAGCGCTATCATAGCTTTTGGAAGCAGTGGATCCCCGTTGGCGATGGGAGGAAGGGAAGGAATGTTTCAGTGGTCTTGAAAAAGGCCGCTCGATCTTCTTCAGCTTCTTGCTGCTGGCATTGGGATCTTAAAAGGGGTATTGAACACTTGTACGCACCCGGTTGATAATATTAAACAAAAGAAAAGGAGACTGTGTTTTGCGGTGGAATCTAATTTGGGACGGAGAAAAGGGAATAGGATAGAGTATGTAATGGAACAAGGAACTAGGTAGATTCGCGGTAATGCACTTTGAATTTTCAGCAAACCTTATGGGTCACTTGTCTTCTTCTGTCTTCATCATACGACGGGCCATTCAGAATAGGGAACAAAACAAAAGCATAGGTTAACAGAGAGTAGTGTTCTGCAATGAAATTGTCAGCAAGTACAACTTATAAGTCTAGACCGCAGATTTTTGCCCGTTTCGAATAACACAACTTCGCAATTGCCCCCCTCCTTCCCGAAACGGCAAGTCTAGCAGTTTTGTCCCTCCAAAAACCTGGCTGCCCGCGCAGAGACCAAGCAGCGGAACACCCGTCTCATCTTCGGTGTTCCGAACCTTGATACATGTACCCGTGCTGTCGAATGCATGCGACGTAGGTGCAAGTAGCGTGTACATGCCATTCACGTATGTGCGCGAGTGTGTGTGACGCAGAATCGGGTCCCGTCTGCAAGATAAGCTCCCGCGCGCAAGGCGCTGTCAGAACCACGCGGGAGCAGACGAAGCTTTTTGGCCTTCGGTCCTTCCTGTCATCAGACCGAATCTCACGATGTTTTGCATGGTCTCGAGAAGAGCACGGGATAGGAAGTCAAGACGAACTCCCGAAAACGCCGTTCCATTCATGCACACACGCCCTGTTTGCAGGCAGAAGCAGCAGCATCTAATCCCCGAGCCGATCGTCGGCCGAGGCAGGGCAGATCTGGTTCGTCAATTGGTACTGGGCAAACCAGCTAGTCTGCAGTTTAGATTCGTTCTCTGCGCATCCCGTCCTGCGCTCGGGAAGAGATCACGGCAAAGGTGTGGATTGGTTGTGGGAAGCAGAGGTGAGAGGTTTTGGCGGGGTGATTGCGCAACTGGGATAGCAGGCGGGGGAGGGGGAGGGGCGATGAGCGACGTCGCGTGCCCGCCCGCCGAACCGGCACCTCGCGCCGAGCGGGGAGGTGGGCGGCTTGAGGTGAGGGACAACGGATACCCATGTCGACGGCGTTTCTGACGTTGAAGGCGATGTGTGTGGTTTTAGTCAGGTGGTGAGGAATCCCATATAAATCACCAGTCTCTTGGCTACCGTTGGCATTTCTTCGTCATCTCTTAAATTCGCCGTCGTCCATCCATCTGTCTGTCCAGCTGTGTCAGCTGCCTTACTCGGGTAATCACATACCCGGCACACCAAGTGAGTTGTCTTCGCGCCCGGTCACGATACTCACTCTCGTTCTGGGATGACCACTCACATTTACGTAGCCTCCATCTCTTTGTCCAAAGAAGAAACGGTTTTGTCCGAGAGCACGCATCAAGATGAAGTCCTCCGTCTCAGTCCTGTACCCCAACGAGCAGGTCTCGCGCAACGTGACGGCGTACTCGGAGAGCAGCTCGACGCCGCTACCGGCGCACATTGTTGCGTACCATGACCACATCGACACCACGCAGCCCGAGACGTCGATGCTCATGATCAGCAACTTTCAGGCGCAGAACCACATCTGGCTCGCCAAGTTGATTGGGGCTAAGCGAGGTGAGTTTTGTCAAATTTGTTGAGGACAGAGTAGTGAGAGTAGTGAGATGCTCCTTCGTGAACGTGTCTTGTTGGTCTGGTTTCTTGGTTTTCGTCGTTCATATTGCTTGATTTCGTCACGGGGGAGGTTACTTGGATGACGAAATCGCTTCGTTCTCTCATTCTCATACAATTCTCACTGGAGAAGGATGCTCTTCTTCGACTCTCATGAATAAAGAACACCAACTAACAAGTCTCAGTCCTGGAAATCGGCGTATACGTCGGCTACTCCGGCATGGTCTGGTCCCACGCCGTCGGCCCCAACGGCACGGTAACGGGCCTCGAGTTCGACGCAAACTACGCAAAGCAAGCCCAGGAAGCCTGGGCCGCCAACGGTATCAAGAACGCATCCGTCATCGTCGGCGACGCCCTCCAGACGTACGTCCATTCTTCCCATTTCTTTCCTCTCTCTTCCACTCTTCCCTGTTACTAAACGCAACATCGACACAGCCTGCCGACCCTCCAGCCCGACGAGCCCTACGACCTAATCTTCATCGACGCCCAAAAGTCAGGCTACCCCTCCTACCTCTCCACGATCCTCTCCGCCTCGCCCGCGTCCGGGGGTAAGCGCCTGCTGCGCGCGGGCGGCCTGATCGTCGCGGACAACGTGCTGCGCCGCGGCATCGTCGCGGACGACTCGGACGGCAACCCGTGGGTGCAGCGCGAGAAGGGGGAGCGGGCGGCGTACTGGAAGAGCGAGGACGTGGAGAAGCTGCGCGAGTTCAACCGCATGGTGAGGGAGGACGAGAGGCTGGACAGCTGGCTGATGCCGCTTTACGACGGGGTTCACCTTGCGCGGCTGGTGGATTAGATTAGAGACGCTGAGGAATGATTGTGATAGATGTGGGCTCAGATTAGGGTAGAATATGACCTTTCTAGAACTTTTTAAACGCATTCTTGGTTTTTTAAGGACCGTTGATTCGTGTCAAAAGGCTCGGAGCTCATGACAATAATGGTTTCATGACAGGTACCCTCAAGATGCTCTCGATGCTCAAGTACTGGATAGAATAAAAAAAGCAGTAATTCAGGGTGTCCCTCAGCCAGAGGCATACGACAGGCTGTGTTTCTCAGGCATCCGCAACAATGACTTGTTCATGTTCAACCTTATGGATCCAGTTCATTGAAGCTGAACACAGCCATCATGTGCACAAAGTCGTTGTTCAATTCAACTTATTCCTGAACAATGCACAAGTTCGTGGCACGGCCCGGGCTGTTACAATCTCATGGTCTTGCTTGAAGTGTCTCGAGATATTGTCGAGGCATTTCAATCTCAATCGCCTTTTGACTGGATGAAGAAGCACATAACCTGTCACAGTGAACATTGCGACCTCCCCCATCATACTCAGTAGTCTTTCATATGTCCATCCACCCCGTCGTTTCCCTTTAACAGCACAACTTCTTCCCGAACAAGGGCGATGTCTCCCACACTTCAACACAGAGCCATTGTGATCCCACACAAAGCTGCCCAAACAATGGAACACAGTCTTCACCAACAACTCCCATTCTCATCATCCCCTTGTATAGAAGAAGCCCAAGATGGGACCACAACATCACCGCCCTCTAAGTAGACGCCAACTAACACCCAGCACCAAGCAACCCCCCCACCACCCAAACCTCTCGACCGGCTCAAATGCAATGTGCACCGCCGAAAACATCTACTACACAGCCTGCGGCTGCTTCTCCGGCCACCACATCACCTGGCTCTGCCCCCGCTCCACAACCACCCCCGGCGCCGGCACCGTCTGCCCGGCCATCGACGCCCAGGGCGTCTTCCGCCGGCCGGGGAAGTGCCTCCCGTGCCGCCGGCGCGACTGGCAGCAGCAGGTACTCGAGCGCCTCCTCCCCGTCCGCGACGCTCTTCCCCCGAGCGGCGGTGACCTTGTCAGCGATAGGCTTACCCTTCTTAGCGCGATGATACGCCGGGCCGTGGAGAATTCGAATTCGAACGGGAATGGGGTTGGGAAGATGGAGGATGAGACAGGTAAGGAGGGGCAGCAAGGTAAGCGTGAATCCGACGTTGTTGCCGAGCAGTCAACGGGGGATGAGGTCCAGCAGGAGGTCGTGGAGACGGATAGCACGGCGTGGCATCAGGAGTGAGATCCGGCTCGGCTGTGGGATTGGAGCTCACACACGGGATGTCGTCCCGGTAAGTGGATAATCACGGTCGGTGCGGCGCCGGCGATGTACAGGTAAGAACCCCCGATGGCCAAGTCAAGATCTTGGGCAGAACCACTGAACGTTTTCCCCTGCCATGAGCTTCCTCGACCATTGGACGCGCAGACGAGGGATACCTCCCGCGAGGAGTGAGTTATGACAATGATAACCATAGAAAAGCACGCAGCCGAAGCGCATGCGCGGGAACAAACGCAGAACATCTAGAACAAACATTCGTATCAAGCAAAAGGCAGTGATCCTGCTACGCCTCCCTCTCTAAATCCAGTAAAAGCTGCAGGAAGCCAGCCCGCAGGCTCGCTCGTTTTCACCGGCGCGGTTCCACCGCCGCCACGTACACACACGGCAACGGAACCAAGGATGCTCTCGTTTCAGGGCAGCTGGACGCTGGCGAGCCAAAATCGACGACGTGCCGTGCACCGCGCTCTCGCTGCGGCTGCGAGGTTAGCGTGATGCATACGCTGTGACATGGCGAGTTTATTGTTTATGTGTGTTGGCTTTTGGTAAATCGTAAAGTTGGTCGTGCATTCCGAATGCAACCGCTGCTCTTCCAGACGGCAGAGAAACGGATTAGAACAGGCAAGGCGGACCGCCGCACTGCTATTGCATGCTGCTTAAACCTAGTATATGCAAGGTAAATCATCACCTTCGCTTCGCAAATCTTTGTCGCACCGAGTGATGATGTTTGATGCAGAAATCCAGAAAGGAACGCTTGTTTACTCGTGGCTGACTTGGCCGCCGCCCACAAAGACCGGGCCAACGACGCAGTTTGCTCTTGGCGCTTGTCGAATGTGTAAATTGGAGGGCCCAACTGTCAGCGGCGCACGCACCAGCCGGAGGTTCGAGACGAGAGACAGATCCGGAGGGTAGGGATAGATCGGGCAAAGGGCGAAGACGGGTTGGGAGCCTCAAACAAACGTGCCCGAGGCCTCACCGTTGACAAGTGAGGTCCGCCAATGCAAAGTGCGGGTTAATCGTGCATGTCTGAGGGCATGGTCGCGCACGGCTGGGGGCCAGAACATAATCGG